ACTATTTGAGTTAGCAGTCAAGCACAAACTGCTTACCTCACCCAAACCAAAAAATACCAAACTCACTGCCATCAAGTGGATTCCAACTCATAGCAACCCCCATTAGGTTTCTGAGGTGGTAAATCTTTACAGAAGTAGATTGCCCCATCTTTGTTCCATAGAGCAGCTGGTGGGCTTGGACCACCAACCTTCTGGTAGCAGTCAAATGCTTTGGGCACTGTGCCACCAGAGCTCCTTTATGTCACCTAGGGACCGATATATAAATACATATGTATATATGTACATCCATATGTGTATGTGTGTGTGTGTGTGTGTGTGAGAGAGAGAGAGAGAGAGATAAAGAGGGAGAGAGAGAAAGAGAATCAGTCAATGATTGGAAGTAAATCTGGGTTGTTACAAATGGACTGGGTGCTGACCTTTTCTGATCACTGGTCTGGGAGAGATGTGAGCAGGCTTACAACTAACTGTTGATCTCAGTAACAACCCAGGAGAGTTGAGCCTTCGACTCACAGATGCTTTCCAAGAAAACCAAATAACCTTCCACATATGAGCCAGGGACCCCAATTCCTAGAATCTCAAAACTCCAAGTGAATTGGTATTGATAGCCTGGGGTGCTTTGTTGATATTGATTCTGGAGCCATTGGTGAAATACACATATTTCCTGTAGACCTACCATGGGCAAGAACACTGGATAGGCACTAGGGAACCACAAAAGAGTAAGGCAGTTGATTCATGCAGGAGGTTTGCTCAGTATTGAGGTCAAAGAAGTAAAATATTCAAAAGCAAGAAAATGCAATGGTACACAATAGACTTACTTTTAAAAACAAACAATAGGATTTAAAGTGAGTAATAAATGCAAGGGTTACAGGTGAGGACAGACAACTCAGGGACGCCCAGAGTAGCAGGCCGGAGGAGCAGGAGAAAGGGGATAAAAGCCAGGAACCTGGACAGAGGAGCAGTCAGCCCCAGGGACAACTCAGGGACGCCCAAAACAGCAGGGAAGAAGAGCAGGAGAAAGGAGATTAAAAGCCAGGAAGCCAGACAGAGGTATAGTCAGCCACAGGGACTCAGGTGGGGGTGATACGAGAGGTCTCCAACAGCAAGACAAACTTGTCTGTCGGTTTGTCCTACTGTGGTGACATGTAGACGTGAGTTTTGAGGCTGAGCC